GACCACAAGATGAACATGAGCCTGCAGTGCGATGCAGCGGCTAGTAAAGCGACCAAAACGCTGGCTCGCATTCATAGATGCTTCTCAAGCAAATCCCAGGACGTCGTTCTCCTCTTGTACTCGGCCTTAGTGAGGCCGCAGCTGAAGTACTGTGTCCAGTTTTGGGCCCCACAATTCAAAAAGGATGTGGAGAAGCTTGAGAGAGTCCAGAGAAGAGCCACACATGATCAGGGGTCAGGAAAACAGACCTTACGACAACAGGCTGAGATCTATGAGGCTCTTTAGCCTGGAAAAGCGCAGGCTCAGGGGTGATCTGATGGCCACCTATAAGTTTATCAGGGGTGACCACCAGTATCTGGGGGAACGTTTGTTCACCAGAGCGCCTCAAGGGATGATGAGGTCAAACGGTTATAAACTACTGCAAGACTGTTTCAGGCTGGACATAAGGAAGAACTTCTTTACTGTCCGAGCCCCCAAGGTCTAGAATAGCCTGCCATTGGAGGTGGTTCAAGCACCTACATTGAACACCTTCAAGAGTAAATTGGATGCTTATCTTGCTGGGATCCTATGACCCCAGCTGACTTCCTGCCCTTCGGGTGGGGGGCTGGACTCGATGATCTTCTGAGGTCCCTTCCAGCCCTATTGTCTATGAAATCTATGAAAGAAGGTTGCTCAAGTTTTCTGACCGCTTTTGGGAGAACAAGCAGGAAAAGAAAATCAAGGAAATGAAAATGAGAAATGTATGAGCATTAAGAAAAAAGTATTTAAAAAGCTTTGAAAAAACCCTTTCATTATCAATTGAATGCCATCATGCTATGCAGTCAGTCTCAATAGCAATGACCTAAGAAAAAGTCCAAATCCCAATGTACCTTCCAAAATTTCTTCATCAAGGTGTTTTAGCTTCTCCTCAATTTCTGTCTTAATCTTCTCTAGCATCTCTTTCTCCAAAGCTTGTGGTGCTACTGTCAACTGGGTCCCTGAAACAAACCAGAAAGGTTAGTCAAGCATGCTGTTTGTAGGACAGATAAATAAATGGAGGCTGATATTAAAACATAAAGCATTCTTACTGGAAAAAATAGAAGTTAAATTTCTCACAACAATGTGAAATCCAATGTTTACAAGTTTTATTATGCACTCAGAAAAATACAGCATTCTGATATGTACGAGATAGAATGTATGTTTAAATAATGATATCTAAAACAAATTAAGTACAAGAAAGGTCATAAACAAAATAATGAAAACCATCTTAAATCCAAAAATGAGCTGCAAAGCTGTTTTTAAAGAGCATAATCATAAATCAGAAGAAACAAACAAGTAATAGGTTTTTAATGACAATGAGTCCAATCAATATTTACCATTCATGTGTCCAGAGTCTGGAATAGACTCCCCCCAGAAGCACCTACTCTGGATACCTTTAAGAAACACCTGGATGCTTATTTTGCTGGGGTCATCTGACCCCAACTGACTTCCTGCCCCTTGGGCAGGGGGCCAGCTGGACCTGATGATCTTGTGAGGCCCTTCCAGCCTTAATGTCTATGAAATATCAAGACACACTAAAATAAAGGCAGACCACGTAACAAGTCACAATGTTGGTCTATTCATATCCACTTGCCCTATGTAAAAGCAGTAAGGCATCAAAAGTAGGTGAAGTACAAAACTAAAAGCTTTGCAAAATGCTACACAAATTTCAAGTAAGCTAGCCAAACCAGGTCAGATGTGTCATTTTCCAGATACTGAAGAATCCCAAAATCTTTAACTATTTCTTACCTTGTTTTTTTCACAGAGTCAACATGTAACAACAAATCATCTAATGCAAACCTTCCAGTCATATTCTAAGTATTCTAGCAATGCAACTAAAGCAAATTATTTTAGATATGCCAAAGGCATTTTCCTCATTCAGGATAATGCAGAATCCCAGCTATTTAAATGACCATAGTCCAGGAAAGAATCCATCTTTGAACAGGTGAAAAATCTTTAAATATTAAAGTCATTCAGAAACTGCCTGCTGAATTTTATGGATACCTTTCAGAATAAGTCAGTTTCTCAAGTGGGACAGATCCAAAAATCCTACTCAGTAAGTTGCTCTCTGGGGAAGGTACTAGCTATAAAAAATAGGTGTTTGGGAGGAGTGTTCAACCTCAAAGTTTTGACATCTATTCACCTCTTTTTCCTTCCCTCTACCCAGCAGTACTGAACACCCAGCCTACAGGCCAGACCCAGGCCATGGAGCCATATCATTAGTCCAAAGGGCTCCTTAAGGGTCTGAAAATACGGTAGGTGGCATGGGACAGCCTTAATTGCCACTCTCCTGCTGCCAGATTTGTGGATCTATAGGGAGCTCTGAAGGCCAGAGAGCATGGCCCTGCACTTAAGATCAGAAGCACAGGGCCAAGGCAGTGTGGAGCCAGATCCAGCTGTGCAGGGCCCAATCTGGGTGCCAGGACCAGGCCCATGCCATTCACCCAACCCACAGGACCAAAAGTTTAAACACCACTTTCATAAGTCCACTCTCAACACCCCTCTGACTTCTTTCTTATCGACTTTCATACAAGTTATGGTTTCCTGTGATGTTAAAAAAAAAACCCCCCAAAACAAACAAAAACCCTATTCCATCTTACAATTCTATTCCTGCCCCCTGCCCTTCGATCACCAAGTCAATGGTCTCCTACTGTATTCTCCACTTTCTTTGCATTCTGTAAAACATGGTTCACATCCACTCAATCCAAAAACTGTTCCGATTGCAAAGCTACTCTCAGTAGCTCGTCTCTTTTTGAACAAACCTATTATTGAACTCATTTGTTCTGGTTTCTTCTGCTTTGGTAGCATCTGCAACTATATTTTTCTGGCTCTCTTATCTCTGACTATTCCTTCGGTATTCTTTTATGGACTTCGCCTTTTTCTCTCTTCCTCATGGTTTCACTTTTGCCCCTTCCATGATTTTATTTCTGAATACTCTTTCCTGCCATCCTCTCAATGCTGACAATTTTCAAAATCCATCTCTATTCCACACCAATGCCCTCCTGTATATTGCTGCTCCTGGATGTCTTGATATCGTTAACCCCTTCCCCTGATTTTTCCCCCATCATCAACATTTGCAATCTAGACAGCATTGTTACTTCATTCCTCCTCCCATCTTCCTCAAACAATTCTTGTAATTTTGGGAGCTACACAATATGCCCTTTCCTTTAACCTTACATCCAAGACTCTAAATCGTGGGCTAGTAGGGTTGTTCTTTCTTGACTGATGCAATCTTACTTGGCTTCTGAGACTCCCTTCTTCCCTCAGATGTACTCTCTCTCTCTCCCACCCTGACCCAAAAATTCCAGAAAGGCACCATCTCCCATTTTGGGTAACAAATAGACACACACTAACGCATTATCAATTCATGCATTTCCGCTTGAAATGGCTGAATTATTGCTTCACTATCAAGCCCAACAAGTTTATACACATACATAGCCCTACTTTAACATAAGCCTCACCCTGCCCTGATTGAAAGGAAGCAGCTAATTCAGAAGGCCACCCGTTCTCACGGGACTAATGTGATGTTGATCGCACATGACAGGCTGTCATACTTGATAACAAGTGATGTGGAAAATTTGAGGAAGAGAATTCCACTGAAGCCAACATACAAAAGAGCTGTTTAGATAACCAATGCTGCAAAGTCAATGGTTTCCATCTCGTAACACCCACAGCTTTGAAGCAGCTGATAATTCCAACAACACGCAACCGTTCAGTGATGCCTGAGCACAAAAAAACCTATGCTTTGCTTCAGTATCTTTAGAAGGGACACATAGGACAGAGATGAATGGACCTCAGGTTCTTGCAACTCCAGTCTTCTGACCCTCAAAATATGAAGAAATGCCCAGTTTTAAAATACAGGAAAGTTCTTAGGCCAGTCCCCTTTTTCCCATTTAAGTAACTTTTAAAGCTGTTGGCAAATGAGCAAAAGGAAAAAGCAACATCCTATGTTGATTTTAAATGGCATCCCTTGGCTGACCAGAATTGGCACTGACCAGCTCCTTAGGAAGTCAAACAACTATCTCTGGTTAGAAGACTAGGTCAGCCTAATGCAAAACCTTTGATGATGAATGGATCCTTCAGAACCCCTTCCAAGCCCCCAAATGCCACAACTTATTATAGCACTCCAATTCACAAAGTTAGTTTATTATCTGAAAGCTATAAAATTGTTCCCTGCTGCATAAGTATTTTCCTACTATAGAACTGTAGTGTTAAAGGTTTATTTTTCAGGTATGAGGTGGTAACATGGAAAACGGTGAAATTAAATAGAATCTTCCTTCCAAAAGACTGTTAAGCCAGTCTCATCATCAGTCCGACTGCTATATGATTGAGAAACCAACTGTCAGCCTTGCTTCCATACACTTTCTTTGTCTGACACTGACTTCACTGCCAACAAACTGAAGGTAATTTGAATAACTAAAAGTGGCATGTCTGATCACTTCTGCTGGTATATGGAGTGAAAACATTCCTTGACCTTAAATTATGGACTCCACTGCACCCAGGGAGCAGAGGGGAGGGGCCAGTCCTGTTGTGGAGCAGAGGGCCCCACCCAGCTCAGAGAGCATGCTGGGATGCTGGGGGTGTCTGGTTTAAACCAGAAAAGAGTCTGGGACAGACATGGTATAAACCGGTTTGACCCAAATCAGTTAAGTCCGATACTACATTCAACCAGGTTTATCTCAAACTGGTGTCAGCCATTTTCAAGCTGGTTTATGTGCACTGAACATCTGTTCTACTATAGGTTTAAACCCGTTTCTGATCACTTAAACTGGTTTATGTGTAATGTCTATCCCTAGTCGAAATGTCTATTTATGATTACATTACTGGCTAACATGAGAGGGTGACTTGTCTCAGATAAATCGGAAGGGCTTCTGATGGAAGGAGGAGCCAACATAGGAGGTAGTGCTGGGGAATGTGTTGGTTTTCCCTTTGGCCTAAAGGCATAGGGAGAATGTGAGGCTTTCTATGAAGCATTCTTGGAAGCAGGTCACGTTCCTACCCCTTGAGCAGCCAGCAGAGAAAAGCCTGGGCTGGTACAGGCAGACTTCCCTAATCAGAGGTTCTGCCACAACCCCCCTCAGCTCAGTTCTGTGGAAGGGAGGGCTGCTCTAGAGCCCCCCCCAGCTTCTAGCCTGAGTCACTGCAAGCATGTGGCTGCATTTCCTTAGTCCAGAGAGAATGTCTGTCCAGTTACAAACCGGTTCAGCCTAGCCAGGTTAGACTAACCTACAAAGATTGAATCAACTCAGGCTCAGGCTTTTTGAATGACTGTCCCTAGCCTTCTACACTAGATCTCAGAATTGCACTAGGGCACCCTAACACTTGTGGCTTAATACTGGTATGCATTGAGGCTTGTATGCACATAGAGGCCTACCGATGAGTTTCTCAACTTCTATTCTGAGAGACTATTGCACTGGGTAGCTTCTATACTGAATTGAACTACAACCTGTTGACAAACAAATTGCGATATTTATTTCTTCTCCAAAATACCAGCCAGCCATTCTGGAATTTATGAGATTCCCACTACAATGGGTGAAGTGTTTAAAATAGAAAATGCAGTGTGTATGTATGTGTGTATATATATATATATATATATATATCAGCCAATCAGAGTGCGAATACAGCATTACGGCCAACGGGCAGCAGAACGCCGCCATGATAGCAGGGACAAAGGGGCCGAGGGCAGCCAGGCCAGCATAGCTAGCTTGGCCCTCCCCCCCCACATGGAGGAGGCAGCAGCAGCATTGGGGGG